CCACTTATGGTTTGCCACCTGTGATTAGTTCGCATGAACGCGGCGACTCCAGCGATCGCTGGAGGCTCAAGTGTTCCCACTGTGAGCAGTGGAGCGCGCTTGTCACCACTTTTTTTTCTCATTGTAATCGCTTTCAAAGTTTGTTCGTGCACTTAAGCGCTCAGATAGTCGCTATACCACTGAGCTACGTTATCTAGGCGATCGCTCGAATCGTGTGAATGAATCAACTTCAGGACTGCTTACAGCGTTGTTCACTGCCGGTGGTGGGGCGTGTCAGTGAGGCTGGGTTTGGCGCGCCGCTAGCACATTCTCCACACTAATGTTGCTTTCCATCTTCAACTGCTAGAAGAGAGCGGGTAGGTGCTGGGCAACACCCATTCCCTCTCCTTGACACGCCCAATCATCCGCAGCAAACAAGATTAATCTTTATTGCGTTTATGCAGAATAAAAAAACAAACGGCAGCAAGAATGCCTTTAATTTCATTGACTATATTACTTAGTGTTAATATTTAAGGTTGTCACTGAAGCTTCGTACGTCAATGTGCCTGTTATCTCTTTCTGCAACACCGAATCGCCACTGAAGCTGATCGATATTGCTATTCCTTGCAATAATAAGGTAACCATTAGCTAATGCCCTTTGCTGATCACGTTGCCTTATGTTTCAGAAAAAAATGTGTTATAGGGAGAGCAGTCGATTGGACTCATGTGGTGGCTGCTGGCTCGTGAAATTCTGATCCTTCGCGGAAAAATTTCTCGCCAAACCGGATTTGTTCTTGACGATAAGGAGATCATGCCTGATCTGTACTTTTACCGTGATCCTCAAGAATCCGAGAAGCAGGAAGCCGCTGAGATTATGCCCGAAGTTAAACCCGACTATGAAGTACCAAGTGAGGCCGTCGATTTCACTGCTCAGCCAGAAATCAAGGATTGGGCTTCGGAAACCGCAACATGGAACCCCGGAAGTAAGCCAGGAGAGCCCGCTGGTGAATGGGGAGCTGGCGCGCCTACGACTTCATGGTGATGAGAGCGTTGTTAATGTCACAGTGGTCGATCATCTGTTTGTTGTTGTTTGCAACATAAAGTGTTATTTACTGTTATAGCGACACAGACTTTATTTATGGAGTAGTGTCTCACAATTCCCTCATAAATGTTGGATTTCGGGAGTATAAAGTTTAACAGCAGTAATCTAGGCAGACCTCCAAGGGTGAATCTGCCATGACTTCAAAGGGTCAATCGGAGGTATGTTGTTGCGTGCTTCGCTAAATCACATAAAATTTGGTTCAAGTTTGAGTAAGGACAGCACTATAGTTTTGTGCAGCTTGAACTGAATTCTGTAAATGAAAACTGTCTGCATGAAGAATTGCTTTTTGAATGGTTTTTCCCTGGGTTATCGCTTCTTTGATGCAAATGTGGTGGATTTGACCGCCTAGCCGCAAACCACGACCTTCTTCTGTTACCGGAACCGTTGCTACCGGGCGAACGAATATCAGGATGTATGGGTTCGCTCGTTGGCTCACTAATATGTATGGTTTCAAGTACGGGGGTTTTTGCTTGTCCTCAAATATGGTCTGGTTGGTTACTTTTTGTCGAAGCGTTAGAGTTGTGAGGTCTCTGAGAATCACATGTTCTTGGTGGGATATTTTCTAGGGTTGTTCAAATAAGAAAATCCTGACTAACGCATGTTCGACCTACTTTTACCATCATCAAATCTGTTGTAGCATATTTGGTTGCTGCGGACTCTGGGGCGAGTCGAAGGGGCTGGGTTTGCGTTGCGCCAGCCCATTATCCTCCAGTTGTGGACGAGAGAACGCGACAACAGTTGGTGGAAAACGTAGCGCCGTGCCAAACCCCCTGATCCGCCAGAGCATCCGCAGTGCAAGTCTGGATGCATATCCTTACGCTTTGTCGATAGTGGACTGCTTCAGCAGAGGTGCGTTTTGGCGCCAGAGCTTGACTGAGATAGAACCTGGATTAGTAAATGACTACATCATATGTTGGGATATTATATGCGGCGGTTCTCCCACTCCACCATAAAAAGAAAAAAGTAGAAAGGTCCCATCAGAGAGTTTCAAAACAAGAAGCAAGTTCGTGTCTAAGTCCAGTCGTTGGGTGCCTGTGTGTTGTTTTGACAACATCCCATATGCGATAGCGACTACAAGTGGGTTTCCTACACAAGTGCTGTTCTGGTGAAGTAAAGGGAGAAGGCGCTCCTGGTTCACCTTATCTACCATTACATAAGTAGACTTCGTAATATGGAAGTTAGATCTACTTCTTACTAGGTCTGCTATCAATAAACGTGGAAACCTGTTAAAAAGTAGCAGCTGAAATCATCGAGTTTTCACAAGAGCCCACTCTGATGCAATGACGCCGAAAATTTCACGCAAACTTCGGAAAATTTGGCGCACGAATAGCTGGTGATCTTGTGGGTCAGTATAGCCTGAAAAAGATTGAAGAACGCTTTTTCAGAAAATCTGTGGTTAGTGTGGTCGGTTTTCAACAGCTCGATAATGTAGCCCACCAGGGACAGTCTTTCCCACAAGGTGTATAATGCTAAAATTACTATTTTGAGGAAATTCACGCAGATACGTTCAATTTCGTGGTCATAGTTTGTCGTGTCGGTACGGAAGATGGCGAAGTTCGGCTTAGCGGAAGGGGATTAGCGCTTTCGGATTCCTTGACCGGTATTACTTCATGGTTTCACAAGATTTCTCAGCCTTCTTGGTGACGCGACACGACGATGGGAAGGAACGAATGTGGTAGATGCTCGCTCCTCCCCACCTCCTGAGTCAAAGTGTGACCGCAATAACTATGTTGAAGAAGAATATAGCTGAACAACATATCAAACCAGGGATCTTTGTTTCCCGATTAGACCATTTTTTCGGAGCCCAAATAGGTCAGATGCGGTAGGATCAAGGTGTATGTGGTGACCTATGATAGCTCTCTCAACGAGAATCTTCACAGTCCACCTCAGATAGGATGAGATAGTTTTTATGTCTGTGGCGTTTACAGTACTCAAGAGGGTATTAGTCATAGCACGTTAAACTGATTAGAGAAAGGGTACTGGTTTTTATTGCCTTTGCATACATTAGACGCGTGATCAGCTCATCATACTTAATTTAGCGGTGCAAAACCGAAGAACTTCTCAAGAAGTACCCACTAGATGTGTTCCCGAATTGGACTATCAACGAAGGAGAACGGTAAGCACGTGATTATTTTGCAAGACTTCATTTACTCGTCCAACATTTCGAATGAAAGCCAGTATTTTTCGATGAAGGAACATTTCTTCCTGCTCTGAAGCTGACCCCTTTTTCCCATAGCACTTTGAGTGGTGCTGTTCGGCTTGAAGTGGAAGAATTAATCACTCTCGTTTGCACTTAATCACTTTAGTCAGACCTCAAACTGTCTTATGGAGTTGCGGAATGATCATGTGGTACACCCTGGGTGGAAAAATTCACAGATACAGTCCTCATCATTGCGGACCGGTGGGGCGTGTCAGTGCGGCTGCGTTTGGCGCGGTGCCAAAGTCGTTCTGCACCAGTTGTTGAAGCGGGCAAGTGACATTACTGTATTATATCCTTCGTATTACTCGTTTTCTACCACTTTTTGTCGCATACGCGTTTCAACAAAAAGGCTGAGAACGGCTTCAACAGTGTGCACACTCATACTGGCTGACACGCCCCACCGGTCCGCAATGATGAGGACTGTATTTGCAAGGTCGCCAGCAAAAGCTTCGCTGAGTATCTTTTGATACAGAACTAATGTAAGCCAAACAGCGCCCTTCAAATGGAAACCCTTAAAGACAGCTCCCGCGATAAAAGTGTCATGGGTAGTTGATGTTCAATTGTGAAACAGTAGCTGATAACTTATTCTCCAAAGAAGAAAAAAAAAATCAAGGGAGGAGCAAGGATATTACTTCTCCCCAACCAACACGCATGAACAAAATTCGCGTCCCTGACAGTTAGACGCGCTGCGATCTCTGTGGCCAAGCCCCCTACCTCACAAATCGCTTTATCGCATCTCCCAGTAGCAGATATCATCCAGTGCGAAGAAAAGAATACGAATAACAACAAAAACACGGACGAAAAACACTAAAAATTAAAGAAACTTTCAAAACTCGGCGTCCGAATTTGGGGTTACGGTAGCGTGCGTCACGTAGCTCGTCGTAGTGCACGTCGAGCTTTTCTGCACGTACGAAAATTGAAGAAGTATCGCTTCGCGATTTTTTAGGCGTTTCTGCCTCTGCCGAGTATGGGTTGGTTGTACATAGCCCTAATAAATAAAATCTAATGAAGGAGAGCAAAATTATTCATGAATCGGGGCGAGAGTGCACGCGTGGTCGGCAAAAGACATGCCATTCCGCCGCCCCGCAAAGAACAACTCGAGCGGCTCTCGCGATCAGAGGAGGCAATTAGCAAGTTCGGCCGTCCAACTGAGCGCGTGCTGTTAGAAACTAGAACTTTGTGCGACTATAGCTTGCTCCTCGCTTACTGTGGAGTCGCGAGGAACAGTCTCTAGTTCGGGGGCTGGACTACTTGCACAAGGAAAGACCGCGACATCGTACGACTGAGCCGCGGGCCTTTAAGTGGCTATACCGATGAGGTTTCCTAATTGTAAGCACTAAAACTGTTACCTACAGTGAGCGGGGAGCAGAGTCATGAGCGGTTAAAAAGGGTAATGGTGCAATGCGCTGGTGGCACAAAAATAAACTCTGGGATCTCGTGCTGGTTAAAAATTCGTCTGTCTGGGTTTTTCTTGGTTCTCTGAGTACAAAGTCATATCTGGTTTACGCGAAACTGCTTGTGTGGGTGTTATATCAGGGTTACTTCCGGCCGCAGCATCGCGCGCTCCCCTAGCTAGTTGACGTGAAAGACGCAGACCCAGAGGAAGTCGATACGATGCAGCGTTGTGTGGATCTGGTCCCAGTGGGAATGCTGCATACATTACCCGCCACGTCTCTTTCGTCGTGCTTGCCTTGATTCGGTAGTAATGCTATACGCTCACGCCACAGGCGCTAGGAGACAAGTTCCTACCGAAGTAGGCAGCTTTGTCCGCTTATGAATTGCTTGTGGATTCAGGTTTATGTGCCAAGAGATTCGTGATTCGCCGGTGAGCGTCGCGTGCGACGTCGCGCCCGCTAATGACGACGATTTTAGGTGGTATTGGTCGAGAATAGACAATGTATGACCAAAAATAGACATAAGTGTCTACCATGTCCTTGTCTACATGAAATCCGATGCTCCATCGAAAGGGTAGCGCGAGTTTAGGAAACGTCGCGTCCATTCCGCGCGCGACAAAGCGGCATGTTACGATTTTCTTGCCCGTCTCCCAGATTCAGGTAGCGATTTTCGGTTTCAAAACTTGTGATCGTGCTATCAAATACTATTGTATAACCCAGGTGTCTTCTCATAAGTGCATGGGCCGACTTTCACATACCAACCAAAAAAATGACGTTTATGAATAGTGGGGTTTATTCCAAGCTCCGCACCGTGGTTTAGATTTGTTAACTATGTCAACACACTTTGGTGCTAGCCCCTATGAATTCACGCGCGGTGATAAAATAAGCAAGTGATAACAGTGCTTAGCACTAGCTCGAAGGTTCCTCGCGATGGCGCTCGATTAAGCGTTCTGTTAGTTTTGATTGCGCAAAGAAATGGGCGCTGTCCGGCTTGGAGGGGATATTTTGCACTTTTGCTAGTTGCTGTCGTTTCTTGTTAATTAGCAGGTCTTACTTTGGTCAGACTTGTAACTATCTGTGAAGCCGCGAAATTGTTCGAGGTAACTACTGTAATCACAGGAATTAGAGAACTTCACAAAGTGGCCGTAAAAGCCTAGTTTAGTACCATTCATTCAAAGTAGATAAAACTGGCCTTAAAGTGTCCTCACACCTACTGCTTAACATCAATTCTACCTTTTCAGATACTATGTGTGCGCTCCAATTGACAGTTTGGGAGAATGGGCTTTTCACCTGCGTTCACATCTCACTGCTCTTATTCTTTCGGGCAATCCTGCCATAGGATTCCTACAGGT